AAAAATCATTTCCATTAAACACAAAAAGCTGACATGGCAAAAAATGTGTAGTGCACTCTCTTTGAGCGCGTTAAGTTATGAAAAATAATATATTTTCTTTTTTTTTTTCATTAACTTTTACACCTAATTTAATTTTTTTAAAAAATTAAAAAAAAAAAGAAGAAACATACATCTTCTTCCCCAATATTGCTGCAACTATTCTTCCACCATTTTCATAATCTTTTTACATACGCTACACACCACCACTTCCACCTCTCTCTTTCTCTCACCCTCTATCGTTCTTCTTCTTCTGCTTTTCCTTTTTCTTTCTTATGTTGATTTAAGTTTCAAATATCTTGACGAAGTCCTATTAATTATGATGAAAAAGATATGAATAGATTTTTTTTGGACAAAAACTTGTTATTATTATTTTTCAATTTTAACAAATTTTAATTAATGATTAAGAAAAAGTGTGATTGGAAGAAATACCATTTCCAATATTGAATTAGATTCAAGGAAAGAGGTAGGTGGGTTGATCGAAAAAAAAACATATAATTTCAAATTAAAAGGAAAAACGTCAAAGTGAAAATGGTTATTCGAAACGTGATTCGATTTTGTGTCTTTTGGTAAAAAAAATGTGGAATTTAAAGTTGGAGTTGGGTGGGAGTGGTTCTGGGAAGAAGAAGAAGAAGAAAAGGGAAGGTTGCTCTTTTTTAATTTTTTTTTTCTCAAAAAATAATTTTTATTTATTTAATTGTGTTTTTCTGGGCCCAATGCCAGATGTCTCTTTTTTATTAGCTACCATGCCATGTCAGCCGCGAGTGTATGACACACCATCTTTATTTTTAGTTGATTGTTAAAATATGTTCGATAGGTATTTTTTTAAACTAAAAAAGGTGTTCAATTGAAACAAGTCTAAGATAAGGTGCCTAAATGAAATATGTGGACAACTTTAAGTGGTTGTAGATGACTTAAGCCATATATATATATACATACATACATACATACATACATACATACATATATATATATACATATATACATATATATATACATATATATATATACATACATATATATATATACATATATATATATACATACATATATATATATACATATATATATATATACATACATATATACAAATATACATACATATATACACATATACATACATGTATACATACATATATATATATATTTATATATATATATATATATATATATATATATATATATATATATTTGTTTCAATCTAATATCGATTTTTTTAAGCATATAAAGGCATGATAAATTAAACAAGTATTACTTCCTACTTCAAATAATGCATGCATCGAGAGACTACAATTTGTCAAACAGATTTCGTTGTATAAGATTGACTCTATTTATCGCACTTCTGGTCTACAATTTTGAATATGAGCTTAAAAATAAGTAAACAGTATTGGCTGGCTGCACCCAAATATTTTAATAAATTTGTCATCTAAATGATTGTTTCATGTTGACTACCAAGACCAGAAATTACATGTAGTTTTTCTTAAAAAATCATAAAGTTGTAAAGGCATTCCATCTACAACCAGTTGTATAATTAAACTACATATAAAAAAACATACCTTTCAACTATAGTTAAGACAGTGCCAGTATACACATAATGCTAACTGACCAAAAATTAGGGGCGAATATGGTGTCATAGGGTACGACATTAGAAAGTGTTAATATATCAGCAATTTTGACATTTGATTTTTAAATATTATGTTATTACTGTTGCGCTCCATTTTTTGTTAAATGGGTTTTGTGCACGACTTAACAACTCTTTTGGGATTTTGAATTTGGAGTCGCCATCTAATGAATTAAGGCGCGTTAGGGCACCTATCTAACCTAACTAAGTCTAGCTAAGGTCAACGAGCCAGAGATCAGGGTGAGAGTTCAAATTACCTCGAGGGGAAGGTGTTAGGCATCCCTCGAGGTCCACAAATGTGGGTTCCGGCCGTGGCTCATGCAATCTATGTGGGGGTTACAAGTAGCAATCAAGGTCACTTCATTATTATTTAATAATATGTTTGCTAAGTGATGACATAAAATTAAGCAATTAATTTTTTATTTCATTTTTTTTAGTTAATTTAAACATGCAAGGCTAGGTGATATCAATAAATAAACAAACAAACTCATATTTTTATTTATTTTGACATACGCGACTATGTTATAAACAAATCGAACAAATAACTCATGTTATTATTTTAATTAATATTAATATGCAAGTGTAAGTGATAAAATATTGAGCAAATATTAAGCAATTAATAAAGAGATAAACAAAAGACATAATATGCACAAAAGATATAGAAGATAGCTCGATTTTATTATGCTACACCAAACAAGAATAATATGTGGAAAAGTAAAGTTTTGAAAAGTTGAGCAAGTTTTGCATAGAAAATTTTATTAAAAAAAATGTTTGTTTCATTATAGGGGTGATGCCACGATATTGTTAATCGCGCTCCTCCACCATAGAAACAATTTTGATTTGAGGCCGGTCTTAGAAAAATAACAATAGTTTATATTTTTGAAAATGGTTTAAGAGATTAGTTTGCATATAGGCACATAAATATTTACATATAAATACACAATTCCTTTTGAAAATCATGGGTAGGTGGTACTTCTGGGGACGCGTCGGTTTAATTTGAAAATTGGAACTAGACCTCGTAATTCCTTTGACTTTCCCAATAACGATATGTTAGGAGATAATGCTTATAATTTATTTTTTTAAAACGAATGTCATAATCAATCCAAAGCTTTAATGGAGGATTGAACAATGACTTTAAAAAAAAAACATGTTGCAAAACTTTGTAAAAAAAAGAAGAAAAAACTAGTAGAACATTGATGTAGTAAATTTATTAAATGCAAAGATTTCACTATGTAATATATTCAAAATCCAAGTAATTTGTTAAATGCATGAAATGATTTTAATTTATTATCATTATTATTTTTTTTAAAAATATATTGCATCATAAATGCGGAAATCTTCAAGAGGGCAAATAAAAGATTACTAATTAATAATATTAGCTAATTTAAAAAGGGGGGGAGGGGGGAGGAAATATGCACAACAAATTTTATTGGAGTAGGTATGCTAAAAATCTATTTACAAACCTACAAACATGATTTCTTGGTGAACATGTAGAAATTAGTAAGGACATTAACAATCATGACATCGATACTTTTACAAGATTCGCTTTCTCTTGTTAAGTTCATTAGCATGCTAAAAAAATTATTAACATATAAAAGCTAAGATCTAGGTTACTAACTTTATTAATGTTACAAGCTCCCATTGGTTCAAACTAATTAAACAAGACAAACAAATAATTGATTTTAAATAGACTATTTGGGTGATTCCAATATGTTGCCTCTTCTAATGACATTAGTGATAGACGGAAAATTTATATCAATCACATAGATAAAAAACGTAATAAGCAAAGAAAACAATTAGCATGTATATATATCCCCCTCCCCGTATAGCCAATCCCCCAAATCTTATATCATATACGAGAGTTTCAGTGTTATACGAATATTACAAAAAAAAATTAAATAAATAAATAAGAAATATATTCAAATATGTGATCTCTCTTCTTCAACTTTAACTTCAAGTTTGAAACCTGTCAAAACAATCACATAACTACACAAATAATCAAATTTATTTTGGACAAAATGAGACACATATGCAATTATTTAACAACTTGTACATAACAAAAGGAATAGAACAATGAGCTTACACAAATGTACGAATACAAAAAAATAATAATGTAAATGCTAATTAAGAATACTAACCGGTTAAGCAGATTAGGAATGGTAGCAATGAAAACAAGTTGATTAAACCTTTACTCGAACAAAAGCAAAGTAGCACTTGAAAGTTACCAAAAACTTATTTCGTTCAAGAGTAGCAAGAGAGCAATGAGAGAGTTAAGAAGTCTAGTTCATGTGTTAAGAGATAATGAATGAGTTGATGAGAGAACTTATGATTGAGAGTGAATGAGAGTGTTAAAAGAATGCAAAGGGGGTGTCTTATATAGTAGAAGAGGGGGGAACAAATAAGGTAAACAAATATTTTTTAAGGAATCAATTAATATTCTATTTTCCTTATTATAAAAGAGGACCAAATCAGAAAGTTTTAAAATATTTCATTACCAAATATAAACAAGTAAGAATAAATTAAGAGAGTAATATTTTTTTCCTTAAATAAAGAAGAATTTAAAATCAAAAAATATTTTAATTTATTTCAGTTCAATCAAATATAGCTTTTTCTAAAATATAACAAGTAAGAATCAATTCAACTTGAATTAAGCCAACTATGATCAATTAATAATAGCCAACAAATAATGAGGAAAACTTGTCTTACAAGGAGACACAAAATCGTTCCAAATTAGCACAGTACCATAAAATCACCTTAGTATTGATTAACCAATATTGTGCAAATCAGACAAGCAAGAAACTTTTATTTTGCTACCTTAGATAAAGAGAATTTAAAAAGTAGCAGGATCACTAAACAGATAGGAGCACAAGCTAATGAATTGCTTGTACTTAACAAAGGAATAATCAATAACCAACAAACAAACCCATTTATGCCTTTTCTTGCCAAACCAGTTTCGATACAGTGTATGCAAACGAGTCATAATTATTCAGAACTATTACGACAAACTAAAATCAGATCAGAATATCATAGCACATGCTTTCTTTACAGAAAAAAATTAAGCAATAATTCACTAGATTAGCAGAACAAACCAGCAATTCTGTTGTAATTTGTAACACTTCATCAACAAAATTATAACAAGTATAATGAACAAAGTTAAATTATTGACAAGAATATATAAATTATAAGAAGAACAAACTGAATAGTAATAGAATGAAGGATATACTGCAATGGATCTGTTGAGATCAGTCTATAAATGACCCCCAAAACTTTGAACTACGCCGGAGTTTATTATCGCAATTGTTGGAGCTCGCCGGTTGCTGCCTATTTGGAGCTACTGATGGTTTCACATGTGAATGCCAGGTTGTTTGTTCATGATAGCCGGAACTGCTGTTCGTCGTGGCTGCTGGTGTTGCAACTGCTTCCCTGCAAAAAAAAAAAAGAGTAAAGAGAAGAATAAGGGGGGAGGGAAGAGACGGAGGTGGAGAGAGGAGAAGAGAAAAATAAGGGCAGAGAGAGTGGGGGAGAGGGAAAGGGGGAGGAAGGAATGACGAGAGGCAGAAGAGAGAGGGGTGCGGCTGCTGGCTGGTTACTGGAGTCCATCGCTGGTCGTCGTGGCTGCTGCTGCTGGCGGTCAGTCGAGGAGGAAAGGAGGAAAAGAAGAAGGGAGGAGAGAAGCGGGGAGAAGGCAGGAAAGACGGGAAGGGAAAGAGGTCGCCGCTGACTCTCGTTGGAAAGCGAGAGAGGAGCAGGCTGGACGGTCAAAAAGGAGAGAAGAAGATAGGGATATGTCGGCTGGAGAGGAAGAGGAGGGGAGGAGGATGGCTGCGAGTGGCTGCTGGCTTCGCTGGTGACGGAGTCTCTCACCGGAAAGAATGGGTGAGAGAGAGAGAGAGGGGAGACAACTCTCTTTTTGGAGAAGAGAGGGAGAGAAAATGGAGTGCCTTTTGGTGTTGAGAGAATAGGAGATTTAATCGCAATCGTTAGATTAGATTGAGATGGAGGGTTAGGATTCGATCTAGGATTTATTTTTAAGATGGATGGATGAGATGAAGTCTTAGTATTAGATGAGACAAGATATGGAATGACTAAAAATGCAATTAAATTGGCTAGAATTTAAATGAAAGAGGAGTTCTGATTGAAATAAAATTAAATTGGAGTAGCTAGAAAATTGAAATAAATTATAATAGAATAGGCTAGAATTTAAATAGTTTTATGGAAAGTGTAGGAATTACTATTTAATTAAAATACTACATTAAAGTATTTTTTATGTAAATGAAAATCATTTAAATTTTTAATACATTTGAAATTCATTAATGATTTTAAAATATTTAATAATATTTACAATAATTATATTAAGTGAACAGACTAGAATATATAATTTTCAAGCAAAAATTGATTAAAATTCTAAACTTTAAATAGATTTTAAAATACGTATTTAATCGAATAGTAATCCTAAAAAGGGTCAAAGGTCGGTCAAAATTGGGTGTCAACAGCTTCCCCTTGGTTGATTGAGAATGAAGAATGAATTATCAGGCAATCAACATTGACTTAGTAGCCGATTTTGTCCGACCGACGAGAGATGTCTGTTGGATCAATTGAAACGATATAGAGTTGAAAAAGGGTACGACCGAGACTTTGGTATTAAGTCGCCTACATATATCTGGTTATACGAGAATCAGGTCGTGTGTAGTTATAGATTCAAGAGCAAATGAAACTCTTAAAAGTTGAAAGAGCGCTAAGGTATTTGGAAGGCACGATATCGGCTAGAATGGATAAGATTAGAGTAGCGAGAAAAGAGAGATTGAGAGGTTAGAAGAGCATGACAGAAAAGCAGGAAGAGCATAATAGAGTGAGTTTATCAGCCTTTGAGCAAGGTTCGGAGTATGAGTAGCAAAGAATTGATAGGGTATTTGTTGTGATAGATGATAGCATGATAACTGTAATGAAGGGGCGATCGATCATATCTGCAAATTCTAGATAAAATTTAGCTTATAAATAGATAAAGTATGATCAACAATGATAAAATTTGAGTTCTAAATAAATGACAAGAGGTGACAAGAAGCGTATCTGCTTTGAGATGCCCTCGTAGTTCAAGCCTCGATAGTCTTTGTCCCATCTCTGAAGAATAACGTCAAACTCCAACAGATGTGATAATTTAGCGATATAATACTATAGACGAAAATTGTTTGTTGTAAGGAAAGTCTAAACGCTATTTTAAGGCGAGTGAGCCTAAGTGTCATTTTAAGGCGGACGGCCTAAAAATGTCCTGTGAGGCGGACAAGCCTAAATGTCCTTTTAAGGCGGACGAGCCTAAATGTCATGTTGTAAGGCGGACGAACTTAAATGTCATTTTGAGGCGGACGAGCCTAAATATCCTATAAGAAGGATGAGCCTAAGTGTCGCTTTGTAAGGCAGACGAGCCTAGATGTCACATTGTAAGCGGACGAGCCTAAATGTCGCCTTTTAAGGCGGACGAGCCTAGATGTCTCATTGTAAGGCGGATGAGCCTAGATGTCGCATTGCAAGGCAGACGTGCCTAAATGTCGCATTGTAAAGCGGATGAGCCTAAATGTCGCATTGTAAGGCGGACGAGCCTTGATGAAGAGACAGTAGGTCACAGTGGCGAGTTGAATCCGAAGATATCTTCATGGTAGCCTGAATGATAGATGATTAGCGAAACGATAGTGCGAGTAGCCAAGACTTTGTCAGAGCCTTTGTTTGTAAGCAAGTGCACAGCCGTTCAAAAGATGGTTTTGTCTGTAATCTGCATAGCTGTAATTTGACTTAAATAGAATGGTTAGAGTAGAATAAGCGGTAAATATAAACATGATGCACTTTCCCATGTCGACCATGATGTTGGCCGTAAGACTATTAAAAATGATGTCTTAGGTTATGATGTCTAGGGCCATGATACGCAAAATGTATCCTTAGGTCATGAAAATGTTGCCTGCAGGACATGAAAATGACGTCTTTCGACTGTGACACCTTCGGATCATGATAGATAGAAATTAAACCCTTAGGCCATGATATGATATCCGCAGGCCATGAGGATGATGCCTTTAGACTATGACGCCTTAGGAACATGATGTGCATAAAATAAGTCTTCAGGCCATGACATGAAGTCCGCAGGCCATGAAAGATGATGCCTTTAGAGGATTATGCCTTTGGGATATAAGTAATGAGTAAAAAGAGTGTATCTATTTTTGGCATCTGTTAATACTTGTGACTTGATTTGATTCGGTCACATGTAAACTTCATGCACGATGCAATCTTGGGATTATGCAAACTTTGGGCACAATGCAGTCTCGGGCACAATGCGATGATGCATTTCTTCGGGCACATGCATTATCGGGCACATGCAATGATGCATTTCTTCGGGCGCATGCAATATCGAGCACATTCAATGATGCATTTCTTCGGGCACATGCAATATCGAGCACATGTAATGATGCATTTCTTTGGGCACATGCATTATCGAGCACATGCAATAATGGATTTCTTCGCGCATGCAATATCGGGCACATGCAATGATGCATTTCTTCGGGCACATGCAGTATCGAGCACATGCAATGATGCATTTCTTCGGGCATATGAAGTATCGGGCACATGCAATAATGCATTTCTTCGGGAACATGTAATATCGAGCACATGCAATGATGCGTTTCATCGAGCATAATGCGATCTCGGGCATAATGTAGTCATGTAAGCCTAGATCTCACACATCGTGCAATTTCATAGTTGAATGAGGAGGGTATGTAGTAGCTTGGACATCCACCTTGTTGGAAGGGTCGAGTGTCATTTGTCGGGCTCAAATGTGGTATGTTGATTGTTGAAGTTGCCTTTGTATATGTACCTATATTTTATACGTTCAAAGAAAAATAGTTAGTTTAAAGGGGGGAGGTTGATCTGTATCCATGATTTGGCACAGCGTGCTCCTTTGGCTCACCATCCACACCTCTTCGAGCGTCTGTTTTTCATAAAAAGGGAGAGGAAACTTTGAAAGATTTTGAAATTATCATTTAGTAAAAGCTGATGTAGAATCTTTGACCATGGCATAGGTTGAGACTTTACAACGTCTGACTCAAAAGTAGAGCTATCATTTGATCTTCGTTATAAGTTGACTGCTTTTTGAGAAAAACTTTTTGCGAAATTTTTAAGTTTACTCAAAAATTCTGCCCTAGTATGAAGATGTGCAAGGAGAAATCTTGATGGAATTTTTGAGATTCTCTCAAAAATTCTGCCCCAGTTATCAATAGAAGGAAAATAAAAATTTTATTTATAATAAGACCGAACCCCATAGGAGCGCCTACATATCTACTCTTAAACGGGAATCAGGTCTGACGTAGTTTCAAATTACAAAAGAGCATGAATCAATCTCTAGATGTAATATTTTTTCACAGAATCTAAATTGATAGGTTTCGGCCAAACTTCTCCATTCATTTATGCAAGTATGAGGACCACTCCTGTCACTACTCGAGAGACTATGTACGGACCTTGGCAGTTTGGTGAAAATCTACCCTTTGCTTCGTATTGATTTGGGAAAATTCGCTTTAAAACTAGTTGCCCAGGTGAGAAATGTTTGTGTTTAACCTTCTTGTTGAAAGCTGTGGCCATTCTATTCTGATAGAGATGACCATGACAAATGGCGTTAATTCTTCTTCCATCTATTAATGTGAAATTCTCTGCCCGACCTTGTATCCAGTCAGCGTCACTCAGTTTTGCTTCTTGGATGATCCTTAGGAAAGGTATCTCTACTTCGACGGGTATCACAGCTTCAGTGTCGTATACTAAGAAGTAAGGTGTAGCCCCTGTGGAAGTTTTGATTATGGTACGATACCCCAGAAGTGCGAAAGGTAGCTTTTCCTTCCAGTGTTTGTGGTTATCGATCATCTTGCGCAATATCCTTTTGATGTTTTTGTTTGCAACCTCAACAACCCCGTTCATTGTGTCCTGTATGTTGTAGAGTTTCGATGACTGATCTTGAACTTCTTACACATTGATCTCATTAGGTCACTGTTTAGGTTGGTGCTGTTGTTGGTGATGATTGACTCAGGAATTCCGAACCTAAAAATAATGTTATTTTTGACAAAGTCATCCACAACTTTCTTTGTCACTGATTTATGAGAGGTGGCCTCAACCTACTTGGTGAAATAGTCAATTGCGACAAGAATGAATCTTTGCTCGTTGGATGCCGTTGGCTCGATTGGACCAATGACGTCCATGCCTTATGCTGCGAACGGCCAAGGTGAACTAGTGACATGGAGTTCATTGGGGGGTACTCGAATCATATCTGTGTGAGTCTGACATTGACGACATTTTTGGACGTAGTGAATGCAGTCTGTCTCCATAGTTAGCCAATAATATCCTGATCTCAGAATCTTCTTTGCTAATGTAAAACCGTTCATGTGAGGGCCACAGGTGCGTGCATGTATCTCTTTGACTAGCCTGCGAGCCTCTCCTGCTTTGACGCATCTTAGCAGCCCCAAATCGGGAGTTCTCCTATAGAGGATTTCCCCATTTAAATAAAATTAGGTTGCTAACCTTCGAATTGTACGCTTTTGTACATTTGTTGCATCTTATGTGTGTTCACCACTCTTCAAATATCCTCTAATGTTATCGTAACAGGGCTTTCCATCAGGCTCTTCCTCAACATGGAAACAATAAGCTGGTTGTTCATGTGAATAGGATCGATGTAATTGTGATCAGGGTGTCGAATCATAGAAGACAGATTGGCTAAGGCATCTACGAATTCATTTTGGGCCCTTGGTACATGTGTGAATTCTGTTTTGACAAACCTTTTACATAGCCTATGCACGCACTCCAAATATGGTAACAACTTTCAATTTTTTGTTGCCCAATCACCTCGAAACTGATGGATCAATAGGTTTGAATCCCCTATTATTAGCATTTCCTAGACATCCAAGTCAATCGCCCATCTCAGACCTAGTATGCAGGCTTCGTATTCGGCCATATTATTTGAGCAAAGGAATCTGAGTTTTGCTGATACCGGATAATGTTGCCCCGTGGGTGAGATCAAAACAGCCCCAATGCCAAATCTGTTCAGATTTTTAGCTCCATCAAAGAACATTCTCCATCCATCATATTCTTCAGAAATGTCCTTTCACACAAAGTCCACCTCTTCATCTAGGAAGTAGGTCTTCAACAACCTGTAATCATCTTCCATGGGATTCTCTGCCATGTGGTCTGCTAATGCCTATGCTTTCACTACTTTTTGCGTGACATACACTATGTCGAACTTGCTCAATAATATCTGCCATTTTGCCAGTTTACCTGTGGGCATGGGCTTTTGAAAGATATACTTCAAAGGATCCATCCTTGAAATCAGATAAGTAGTATGCGATGAGAGGTAATGTCGTAACTTTTGGGCAACCCATGTTAGAGAACAACAGGCACGCTCTAATAGAGAGTATCAGGCTTCGCACGATTTGAACTTCTTGCTCGTGTAATATATTGCCTGTTCCTTCCTCCCTGTTTCATCGTGTTGTCCCAAGATGCAACTGAAAGCATTATCCAATACTGAAATATACAAAAGTAATGGTCTACCTGACTCTGGTGGAACCAACAGAGGAGGATTGGATACATAGTCTTTGATCTTGTCAAATGCTTGTTGACATTCGCTTGTCCATTTCACCGCATCATACTATTTTAACAACTTGAAGATAGGTTCACAAATGACAGTAGATTGAGCTATGAAACGACTAATGTATTTAAGTCGCCCTAAGAAACTCATTACCTCCTTCTTGCTCTTTGGCGGGGGAAGGTCACGAATGGATTTGATCTTTGATGGGTCCAATTCTATATCTCGACAACTGACAATGAAACCTAAAAGCTTTCCAGCAGGTACACCAAAGACACATTTTGCTGGATTCAGTTTCAGATAGTACTTGCGAAGCCTGACAAAGAATTTTCGTAAGTACTCAAGATGATTTGAACTTTAATTTAATTTGATGATGACTTCATCCACATAAACTTCAATTTCCTTATGGATCATGTCATGAAACAAAGTAGTCATTGCCCTTATTTACGTAGCCCTAACATTCTTTAATCCAAAAGGCATCACCTTGTACTTACGGCGTGATGAAGGCAATTTTCTCGACGTCGTCTTTCTGCATCTCAATTTGATGATAGACGGCAAAGAAATCCACAAATGACGAGTTTCATGCTTACCACAATTGTCAATCAGTATGTGTATGTTTGGTAATGGAAAGTTATCTTTAGGGCTAGCTTTATTGAGATCCCGGTAATCCACACAAACTCTGACCTTGCCATCTTTCTTGGGCACTGGAATGACATTTGCAAGCCAAGTTGGGTATTCTGTAATTTGGAGGATCCCAGAATATAATTGCTTTGATACTTCTTCTTTGATTTTCAGACTCATCTCAGGCTTGTATTTTCTCAACTTTTGTTTTACCGGAGGACATGCTGGATTAGTGGGCAGTCGATGGGCTACGATTGGAGTACTTAGCCCTGTCATGTCTGCATAGGACCATGCAAAAATATCCTTATTCTTTATGAGAAACTCGGTATACTCTTTCTTGTCTTCTTTTGTCATATGGATGCTCACTCGGGTTTCTTGTATCACCTCTGCATTTCCCAAATTCACCACTTCTGTCTCTACCAAATTTGGATTGGGTTTTTCCTCGAATTCCTAAACCCTTTTGATTAACTCCTCGGGAACCTCATTGTCTTCGACTTCTTCTAAGTCATTAATGTTAAGTTGAGCAGTCTCATTGTATGCCATAGTCTCAGATTCAACATTTTTATAGTGGATTTCTCCAGATGCTCGACGAGGTCTGGATGGAGTCGAGGTCCAGTTGCTGACGGTGATCTTTGCTTCCTTGCTTCAACTAGGTCCCCCTTTCTCCTCCTCGTTGATCACGACGTTGCAAACTTTCCCCTCTTCTTTGGTTAGCGACAACCCCTTCAAGTCGTCTGAGATCTCATCAATAATTCCTCCCATGAAACCTGCTGATTGAAATGATTGATGCAATGGCGGTATGGGTTTCTTCAATGGATAGTAGTACCCATCTCTAGGTGGTTGACAATCGAGCCATTCTTTGGTAGTGTACTTACATCCCAAGACAAAAGTGGTGAAATGTCGAACAGGTTGTATAGGTTTGACTATCCCTTGCAATTCAGCCCCCAAACCTTTCCCAAGCTCGAAACCGAACCAGGCCATCATATCTATGATTTTTGGCTGAACCAAGGTTGCAACTCAATATTACCAACAAGCTCCATTGTATGGTACATTTCACCATCCATATGCTCTCTTCCTTCAATCGTGTATACAGGATGCCCTTTTTCTCCATGGACTACAACCTCTTTGTAATCCCATTCAAACTTCAAGCATTGGTGAAAGGTAGATGGGACGCTCAAGCCATATGAATCTTTGGACGACCCAACAATAAGTTATATGATGAAGGGATGTCCAAGATTTGGAAAGCTATGGTGAAAGTGACAGGACCAATGAGCATGTCCAAGATTATATCCCCAATAGTGCCTCTCTGAGAGCCGTCAAATTCCCTCACATTGATCTTCATGTTTGAATTTTTGTACTATCCACGCCCAGCCTCGTTAGTGTGCTCAGAGGGCAAATGTTTAAACTTGAGCCTACATCAACTAATGCTTTGTTTATCACCTTATCCTGATACTGAACCGAAATGTACAGAGCTTTATTGTGGGTTGTTCCTTCGAGTGGCAGCTCATCTTTGTGAAAAGATATTTTGTAAGCCTCAAAGACCTGTCCCACCATTTGGGCTACCTCTCCATGAGTGATGTTAGATGGTACATAAGCTTCACCAAGGATGATGAGTTTCGAAAGATTGCAGTAACGCTAGAATTGATATTTGGGATGGGGTTTCACTCAGCTGCTCAATGATAGAGTATTCTTTAGCTTGAACCTTTTTCCAAATACCCTGATCTTCAAGCTCTACGACTGGTGCTTTTGATTTTCTAGAGCTTCCCTGAACCAAATTTTCAGAAGTGTAAATTCTTCCAGATCTGGTGACCCCTGTTGCAACATTTGTATCTTCCACTTTCGTTTCTGTTTTATTGTAATCCCAAGGTACAATATGTGTATCACATTGTATTGGGGAAGATACCCTATAGATAGTGAATGGTGGTCTGGGTGCAACTTCTACTTTAAATGGGGCGAGTCCTTGCACTGTTATTAGTGCTTGGGCTGTGGTCGACATGGCTTCTTCTGTTTTGAGGGTCCAAATAGATTCTTCCCAATCCTAAACATCACCAGCTTCCACCATGTTGACTTGATGGTTAGGAAGAGGATTATTCACAACATTCGGTGTAGGATCCTTGAGTTAGATGGTTTTCGTATCAATCAACATTTGAACCTTATCCTTGAGGGCTTTGCAAACTTTGGTGGTGTGACCCTTCATCCCAGAATGGTAGGCGCAGACCTTGTTAGAGTTGTACCATTTTGCGCGAACATCCATAGGTAATGCAGGAATTGGGAAGATGTACCCAGCATGTTTCAGACTTTCATAAAGTTGTGTTATGGGTTCAGCCAAAAGGGTACAATTTTTTGTAGGTCTTCTTTCATAGGGAGGTCTGTTTCGGTAATTTGGTGTCTGAGTGGGTGGTGTAGTTTAGAAGTGTGTTGGTTGAACATTATAGACAAGATATGAGGCTTGCAATTATTGATGGGGAGTGTTTTGGTAATATATTAGCATGGGTTGGGGAGACATAGGGGGTGGAGCTGAGGGATGTTGAGGGTATGGGGTGTGAGGGTATAGGGATGGTGGTGGGTTTGTTGTCTTGTGCCTCAAAGGGGTCTTGGTTCCATGAGCCATCATTACAGAACCTATTTTCTTTTGATTTTCTGTCATTCCACCAGATTGCAGAGCCTTGTTGGTTGCTTGTAAAGCCTCCAAGTTGATGATAGTCCCATTCTTTATGCTTTCTTC